GGTGGCCAGTTTGGTTTGGTAAGAAGGGTACCAACCAGGACTTTGGGAGTTGGCTAGCCATGAGGATGGCCAGCAGGTGCTGTTTGGAGGGACATGGTGGGGAATGTCAGAGTTTACTTTCTGAGCCACCAACTTCCAGGCTTCTGCCCTGCTCCTCGGCCCCGCTGACCACTGACACCACTACATTTAGTGGTGCCCATGTGTATACTGGCGTGCACGCCTGTCTCTGTAGGCAGCCGTGGGTGCCGTGACTGGTGGAACAGGGTGACGGCAGTCCAGCCCTGTCAGCTCTCTGCTGTTAGTTTCAGCCTACGAGGAAACACATGCCCATTCCCTTCCCACCCTTCATGGTTGGCATCTCCTGGTTAGGGATGAGGGCTGAGTCCTCCCGCCTCTCAGAGTTTGCCATCTGCTCCCTTGGTAACCTCAGGCCCTGGCATTCACGTGGCGCATGTGGACCCCACAAAGCCTGAGCCTCTGCTTTGTTTCTAGAACAGCAGGGAATGGGGGTGACGTAGAGCCAGCACCTGTAGCGGTCCCCCTATTTCCTACCAGTAATACCCACTGCTGGATTCCCTACTGGCTCAGTGAGGCCTGTCTTGTCCATTGTTAACCACAGCCATACAGACCCACCCATGTTCCTGTCACTCAGCACCCAGGCACACACCCACCCCATCCTAAGCAGGTATTTTGGGGAGCAGGTCAGCAGGTTTCCATGGCCTTATAAGAAGGGTTGGTCGGTAGACTGTGGCCATGGGCTAAATACAGCTCTCTGTTTTCTTAAAGCTGTATCAGGACATAGACCTGTCCGCTTATTTGCACACTGTCTGAAAAGCCTAAAAACGTTTACTATCTGGCCATTCACAAAACAGGTCCGCTGACCTCTGGCTCAGTAGAGTCCTTCATCTTGCTCTTCTGTAGGGTGGCATTCCAGTGCTTGGGTCATGCCCAGGGACGGGGCTCGTCGTGTGGTAACCAGGAAGAGCGACTCACAGTGATCTTTGTTCAGTGAGTGAGCACATTCTAGAACATCAAAAGGGATACGCCAGTTGTGCCAGGCCCGCTCTAGGCCGTTGTCCCCACTGAGTTTTAGAAAAGCATGTGACACTCGTGTTATAGATGAACAAACTGGAACTTGGAAGGACCAAGGGCGAATCTTAGTTGGTATGCATATATACAAGGCGTGTTCATCCTGAGTGAGTTTGGGAGCCTTGGAGGCAGGCCTGGGGACGCGCCCTCCAGGCCACAGCCCAGCAGAAGGTAAGCATGGAAGAGTGCATCTGCATGGGGTGTTTTTTAAAAAGGATTTATTTTTTTAAATCGTGTGTGCGCGTGCGGGGTGGGGTGTGTGCACATGAATGCAGGTCCCCCACGGAGGCCAGAGACGCCAGGTTTCCTGGAGCTGGTGCTACAGTCAGCCGTGAACCTCCTGGCACTTGGGTCCCCTGCAAGAGCAGTGTGTGCTTTGAGCCCTCTGTCCAGCTCCCTGCAGGGGCGGCTTTAAAGTGGATGGAAGGAGGGAAGGAAGCTGGGTGGCTTTGGCACCCTTACGTAAGCTAGGGAGTGGCCAGCTGTGGACAATAGGGCAGTGTCATCTTCAGCCAGCAACCTGGGCACACGGGAAAGATGAGTCAAGAGTGACTTTAGGATTGCCATGGCAACTGGCCTCTCAGAAAGGTGACTCAGATGATGGGATGGCGACACAACATGAAACAGGGCTTAGACCATGTCCTCTAGCCTGCCCTCGTGATGGAATCATTTCGCAACACTGTGGACACTGTAACCTGTGCTAACCCTCTCTCCAGCTCCTCTTTCCCACTCCTTCCCCCCAACGGACTCCCGCCGTTCACTGCTGCTCCGTGCCTGGGGCACTCGCCTTCCTACAGCTCAGCACACCTGGACTCACTGGACTGCTTACAGGCCATTGGTAACTGTTGATGAAGTTTCTGTCCCGCCCAGCCGCCCAGCCATTTAGTCCCAAATAAATACAAGTTGCTTGGCCAATGGATCAGGCTTCTCACTGGCTAGCTCTCTTTAAATTATTAACCCGTTTCTATTACTCTGTATATCTCCACACGGTCTTGGTTTGCCCGTGATGCCCAGGCCTCTTGCTTCCTCGGCAGCTATGTGGCATCTCCCTGACTCCGCCTACTATGTTTCTCTATCCCTGTTTGGATTTCCTGCCTGCCCATAGGCTGAAACAGCTTCATTCATCAACCAATAAGAACCAGTAAGAGAAACATACATTCACAGCATGCAGAAGGACCTTGCCCCTTGGTAACATCTCAGAACAAGAAGAGCTGGTGGGACGGACCTGGACAGATAGTGGATGCTCTGCTCTCGGGCTGCTTTTTTGATTGTTCTTTCTAAGGCCACCAGGAGACCCTTCCTCATACTTGCTTTATGCTCGCCTGCTGCGACCTTCACAAAGCTTCGTTCGGTGGAGACAGCGTGGGAGCCACAATCTAGCTCAGGGACTGGCAGGCCGTGGGCCATCCTGCTTTTATATATAAAAAGTTTTATTGGAATACAGCCATGAATGTCAGTTTGCATGCCTTTCCTGGGTGCTTTTGTGAAGTCTGGCCCATGAAGCCTTTACACAGACAATCTGTCCATTTCTAGTTGTTTTTTTCATTTGATTTCTGCTGCTATGATGAAACACTCTGACCAGAAGCAATTTAAGTGAGTAAAGTGTTTATTCCAGCTCTGTCATTGAGGGATGTCAGGGCAGTAACTCAAGGAGCTTGAAGCAAGAACTCCAGATGAATGATCAAGCCAGCACCATGAGGCCCTGGGTCAAAACAGTTGTTTTTAGAAGGGCTAGTGATAGAGTTTTTGTCTGGCATGTACAAAGCTTTAGGGTTTTGTTGTTGTTTGTTTTGCTCTTTCAAGACAGGGTTTCTCTGTGTAACAGCCCTGACTATCCTGGGACTCGCTCTGTAGACTAGGCTGGTCTTGAACTCACAGAGATCCACCTGTCCCTGCTTCCCAAGTGCTGGCATCAAAGGTGTGCACCACCACTGCCTGGCCACAAAGTTTTAGGCTCAATCACAAAGAAAGATGAGAGAAACTAAGATATCTTCCTAGACATCTGGAAGTAGGGTCACAGTATCCATAGGGCTTTGTGGAACCAGTGTAGTCCTCAGCTGCAAAGGGACACTTCAGTTCGGTGCAGATTTGCGCACAGTGGTCCTACTTTGTCTCTGTAGAGATGCTTGTATCCTTGGGATTGGGGGCTAGGGTGATGGGCGCACAGTGTGCTTTCTCTGGAGCCAAGAAGGAAGGGGTGACCTGACCACAGAACAAGGGTATTGGGGACATGCTGCCACCTAGATCCTTCCCCTGGGACTGAACCTCCAGGAGACCTTTCTACCCTGAAGACATCATTCTCATGGTGGCCCTTTCCCAGACAAGAGGACAGTGGCTTGCTTGGTCCCATCGCAGACCTGCCCCACCTCCTGGACCTGTGCTCTCCAGTCCCCAGATGTCCCTGAGCCTGGCACCCGCAGGCTTCTCACACTAGGTTCCTTCACGTTCCCTTCATCTGCTTTGCTCGGGTATCCCAGAGTTCCTTGGGACAAGTGACTCGGCATGTCCCTTTTCCCAGCAACCAAGGCTCAGCGGCCTCCACCCATCTTGGCCAGTGCTCATCCTCTCAGGTTATGTAGCCAGGAGGCTACTTTCCTCCTTACCCTGTTGGTCATAGGAGCCTCACCATAGAAGCTTCTGGAGTCCAGGGAGGACTTTGTGAGTTTCTAAATGTTTGTGTTGAGGGTGTGTGTGCAGACACACGCGTGTGCGTGGAGGCTGGAGAATGGCCCTGGGTGTCTTCGTCACCTCTCCACGTTATATGTTGAGGAAGGGACTTTCACTGAATTCACTACTTTAGCTTAAAGAGTCAGCTTGCTCTGGAGAGGGCCCGTCTCCACCTCGAGGTGCACTGGGCTCACAGGTGGGCCGCCACACCCACCCAGCTTTTATGTGGGTTCTGAGGCTCTTAACTCTGGTTCTCATCCTTGTGAGGCAGGCTCTTTACCCGCTGAGCCACATTTCCAGCCCTCCAGGTTTGGGTGGCAGAGAGCACCTGCTCACGAGTAAGAACCAGGAGTGTAAATACTTTGCTCTTCTCCCTGATCTAAGGCCAGGCAGCGACAAGTGGGATCTGTTGTCAGCCCTACTCTTAGCCGCCGCCTCCTCCTCCCCCCGTCACCACTGGAGATCAAGTAGACAGATATAGTGAGGTCTCCCCTCTGGTTCCCCATCCTCCTTAATGGATCCTGGAGACGGTGAAGCCGGAGAGGAAAGAGACGGTGTGGGCTTAGGCCTTCCTATTACCATGCTGTGGCAGGGAGACTCCGGTGAAACCTTGTCTTCTAGTTGAGGGGACTCTTATAACAGAGCAGCTGACCATCTGAATCCAGGGCCCAGCCAAGCACCTGGAGGGAAACCGTGTTGATGGTCCCAGTCCTGGTAGGGCATGAAGCCCTAGGCCTTACAGCCTGCGTGCAGTGCTTGAGTTGAACGGCTGTGTACATCGGGGTTTCCTCCCTAGGGCCACTTGGTGTCAGGGCTGTCGGGGGTGACTGTGCTGGAGAAGAAAGGGGAGGGCTGGGCTCTGTGTCTTCATCTGCCTGCACTGTGGGAGCAGAGAAGTGTGCGTCCCTTCATTCTGAACAAGGTGTCGCTGAGTCGAGGCTGACTCCTTGGTCTGTGGGGCCACCTTGGCCTTCTGACTGTGAAACACCACCTAGAAACCCAAATGGCATCTCCTGTGTCCCAGCCCGTGGGGTGCGATTCTCAGTCCACAAGCTCATCTCTGCCTCTCCACGCAGAGCGTGAGGCGGATGGCGCCTTTTCCTTTGTGACAACAGGGACGGGGGCATTTCATTCTGCGCCGGGCTAAGACATATTGGTTCATGGAGCTCTGTGTTCCTCCTAAATCTTTCCCCTGCTGCTGCACACCACTCATCCACTCAACTGCCTCTCTTTCCATCCATTAGGCAATACTGAATGCTTCACAACCACCGGAAATCGCCTAGCAACCTTCCTGAGGAATTCTGTCTGGTCCTAACTACAACCCTGGAGGGAAGGCCCCAAGATTGATGAGTTTGCCTTGGGAGTCAGAGAAGAGGTGAAACCAGAGGTCATCATGGGTCAGAAGGTCACGGGAGGGATCAAGACTGTGGACATGCGGGACCCCACATACCGACCCCTGAAGCAGGAGCTCCAGGGTCTGGACTATTGCAAGCCCACCCGGCTGGACCTGCTGCTCGACATGCCTCCCGTGTCCTATGACGTCCAGCTGCTCCACTCCTGGAACAATAATGACCGTTCACTCAATGTCTTCGTGAAGGAAGATGACAAGTTGATCTTTCACCGGCATCCGGTGGCCCAGAGCACAGACGCTATCAGGGGCAAAATCGGGTACACTCGTGGACTGCACGTGTGGCAGATCACATGGGCCATGAGGCAACGAGGCACACATGCTGTGGTGGGGGTGGCCACGGCGGATGCCCCTCTGCACTCGGTTGGCTACACAACCCTCGTAGGAAACAACCATGAGTCCTGGGGCTGGGACTTGGGGCGTAACCGTCTCTACCATGATGGCAAGAACCAGCCAAGTAAAACGTACCCAGCCTTTCTGGAACCGGACGAGACGTTCATTGTCCCTGACTCCTTCCTTGTGGCCCTAGACATGGACGATGGGACCCTGAGTTTCATTGTGGATGGGCAGTACATGGGGGTGGCCTTTCGGGGACTCAAGGGTAAAAAACTGTATCCTGTCGTGAGTGCCGTCTGGGGCCACTGTGAGATCCGCATGCGCTACTTGAACGGACTTGATCGTAAGTGTTTCCTGCTCTGTCTGAAGCAGCGTCATCACCCCACATTCCCACGGTCCTGGCTAGTTTGTAGAGTTATCGGACTTAAAAATGTCTTTAAGTAGGTAGCCCAGTTCTTGTAGGTGCACACGGGCCATGTGTCTTAGTTAGGGTTTCTATTGCTGGGAAGAGACATCGTGACCACGGTAACTCTTATAAAGGAAGACATTTAATTGGAGTGGCTCTGTTACAGTTTCAGAGGTCAGTCCATTATCAGCATGGTGGGAAGCATGGTGGCGTGCAGGCAGATGTGTGGGAGTGAATAGTCTGACATTTTGCAGGCAACAGGAAGTCAACTGAGATACTGGGTGGTATCCTGAGCATAGGAAACCTCAAAGCCCATCCCCACAACAAGTCATGTCCACTCCAGCAAAGCCATACCTCCTAATAGTGCCACTTCCTATAAGAGTATGGGGGCCAGTTACATTCAAACTACACCATTCTTGAACTATACCTGGCTAAATGAGAAATTCTGTCCAGAGCTTTGTGAGTAGAGGATGGATGGATGGGTTTGGGTGGGTGGATGGATAGATGGGTGGGTGGATGGATAGATGGGTGGGTGGATGGATGGATGGGTGGGTGGGTGGATGGATGGATGGGTGGGTGGATGGATGGATGGGTGGGTGGATGGATGGGTGGGTGGGTGGGTGGATGGATGGATGGGTGGGTGGGTGGGTGGGTGGGTGGATGGATGGATGGGTGGGTGGGTGGGTGGGTGGGTGGATGGATAGATGGGTGGGTGGATGGATGGATGGGTGGGTGGGTGGGTGGGTGGGTGGATGGATAGATGGGTGGGTGGATGGATGGATGGGTGGGTGGATGGATGGGTGGGTGGGTGGGTGGATGGATGGATGGGTGGGTGGGTGGGTGGGTGGGTGGATGGATGGATGGGTGGGTGGATGGATGGGTGGGTGGGTGGGTGGGTGGATAGATGGGTGGGTGGATGGATGGATGGGTGGGTGGATGGATGGGTGGGTGGGTGGGTGGATGGATGGATGGGTGGGTGGGTGGGTGGGTGGGTGGGTGGGTGGGTGGGTGGGTGGGTGGATGGATGGAGAGGTTAGGTGAATGGATGAATAGGTGAAGTAATGAGCAAATGAATGTATGAATGGTTTTATTATTCTCTGATTAACATGCTTCCAGCCTTGAACTGTAGTTGACCATATTCTAGTACAGCAGCCAGTGTCACCAGAGTTGAGCTTTGTTGCCTTGGGGGGTGCTCTGGCTTCTTAGATAAGTGAAAGCCAGGGACCTTTTTCAATCATGACCCAAATTCTAGGTCTGTCTCTCCCAGAGCTCAACACTCCTTTGCACCATAGTCTTGAGAAAGACTTGCTTAGTCTTGGAGTGGACTCTGTGCTGAGTCAGCAGTCACTTGGCCTGTCCTTTTGGAAAGGGGTGTGGCCTTTCTCTGTGCTGAAATGGCTTGCCTTCTGCCGCAGCACTGTGGTGGTAGCAGGTGCCTGTCCCGGACTGCCCAGCATGGGTGGGATTGGGAGGTGCTCACTGGGGTCCTAGTGCTCTGAAGCCATGAACCCCAGGCCAGGGCCGCTCTCCAGGAGCTCATTTCCTAAGGATTGTCCCCTGTGGTCTGCACATTCCATCTCCAGAAGGGATGAGCCAGGAAGTGCCAACTACCCTTGGCTGCTTCTAAGGGCAGGTTTGACCTGGCACTCTGAATCCCAGCTCCAACCTGTGGCTAGTGGTAGGTGTGGCTGTCACTGATGTCGGGAGAAAGACCTCGACTATCTTACCATTTCTGATCCCCAAGTCTGCCTCCCCCCTCTCTCAGATCAGTCTTTGGGAGATGCTAGAATGCCGAGAGTAGCCAGACCCGTGAGCTCACTTCCCAGAAGCCTCTTCCTTCTCCTTTCTGTGGTCCACCCCAGCTTTGCCTGGACGATGGCAGTCATGTTGGGTGGAGCCATCTGCAACGCAGAGTCCCTGCCTGCTCCATCTGTCCCTGTGTGGTCCCACACAAAGGGCGTGGCATTCCTGACTGAGTGGCCACGTGTGCACCTGGAAGGGAGCCTCCCTGAGGAAGTCACCTCAGGCCTGGACCAGGGGACTAGCAGAGCGAGTTCTATGAGTCTGTCTCCCTCAATTACAGAAACAAGTGGCCTAAATCCATGACCAAATTTGCAGGGATGGGTGGAGACTGGGACTCCTGGGCACAGGTGTCTGGGTTTAGGTTCTCAGGGAACTGGCTCTGGGCCTGCCTCTTCTCGTCCCTGGAAAGGAGTGATCAGTAGTGCCCCAGGGAGGTTTTTGCTCCTTCATTGAAGACTGACAGATGGTAGGATTTGCCAGGGCTAACGTTGTCTCCCAGATCTGGGCTCCATGAGAATTACCCAGCCTTGTCATCTGGTAACAGGCCTGCCAATATTTTCATGAGCCCTGAGAATTTGCATGGTTTCCATGTGTCCTAGCTCCTAATCAGCATACAGATTCATAGCAGTCAAGAGGGGCCTGGTGTGTGTTTGCCCTTGGCAAGCCTTGTAGAACTCCCATGGCATTTTCATCAGCAGCGTCCCAGAGGCCTAGACACATGTCCAGCGAACAGATGGTACTCCACATAGCTCTGCGTCAGGCAGAGGGCTACCAGCCACGGTAACTACTCTTCTTGCTGGGCCGAAATGCCTGACCAATGAAATTGAAGGAAGGGTTTGCTTTGGCTTGCAGTTCAAGGGATACAGTCCCTCCTGTGGGGGAAGGGCTGAGACAGCTAGTCATATGACATCCATAGTCAGGAAGCAGAGAAAGACGAATGCTTGCTTTTTCTTTTCTCATCAATCCAGAGCTCCAGCCCTACTGGAAAATTCTAAAGAGGTTGGGTGGGAGTGTGAGAATGGGAATAAGTTGTTGACCTCACCCAGGCGTCTGCCGTGGCAGCTAAGATCCAGATAGACTCAGAACGTCATCTCAAGTTACTTCAAGTTATTCCTGGTCAGTGGCATACACTCCTGGCTCCCTCCAGCTGAACTGAGTGCCAGACAATGCCAAGACCCTTGGCTTCTCACTTTCCATAGTCCTGGTTGTACATGGTTGACTTTGGGAGATGCAGGTAGGAGCATAGATGTGGCTGTTTCCTGGGATGCTGAGCAGAACACCTGAGGGCGGCATGTTACCATTAACCCTGCTGCCAGGGGAGAGTAGGGAGAGATGGCATGTATTAGAGCCATCACCTGCTTACGGGACACCTCAGACCATCGCCGAGGGGCGCCTCATGCCTTACGAGACTTGCTTGGCTGGTGGGTGGCAAGGGTGGCCGCCGTGACAGTTGTCTGGGTAAGACGCGGCTGGACCTGAAGCAAGGTAGGAGCTATAGAGCTGGCAGAGGCCGCCGTATTCTGGAGCACACACCTCAGTCAGTTGTGTGTAGGAGATGAGAAAGCATGTCAAGGATATGACCTCAGGTGTTTGGCCTGAGCAGCTTGAAGGATGTGGCTGCACGCAGGGAGATGGGGATGCTGGAGGGAGGGACAGACACACAGAGGTGGAAGTTAACCCAGGTGGGGCCTACAAGCCCGGAGCTTGAGACACGGGGCCAGCAGGGGAGTTCGCCCTTGTGCAGATGGTATTGAAAGCAGTGCTTCTTGGGCTGGGGGTGTTGCTTAAGGGCAGCAAGCTTGCCTAACATGCACAAGGTCCATCCCCAGCACAGCTGAAATAGCAAGAACAAATACACCATGACCCTGGATGAGAACAGCCAGGCTTGAGGGCTGACACTGGACTCCATTGGAAGGGGGGAGGCCCAGGAGAAGCAGGCCATGCATCCAGAGAGTTCCAAGAGATGGTGTTATTGTGTGCCAAGGCAGGAAAGAGTTTCAAGAAAGACAGAGTAATGACAGGTCAAGAACGTTGACAGCTGCCTTTGGCAACCAAGAAGGTTGTTAGGGGCCTCGCCAGGAGTCATTGTGGGTGGAGCATATTCATTTCCTGGGGCTGCTAACAAATTACCCTGAACCAGGCATTTAAAACAACAGAGATATATTCTGTCACAGCTCAGGAGGCCAGATGTCTGAGATGAAGCTATCAGCAGGGTCTGGCCTCTCAGAGGCTGGGGGTGGGGTGGGGTGGGGGGGTCAGTTCCCTTCCGCCAGCAGGCCTGGCTGCTGTGGCTCAGTTTGTAGCTGTCACTCCCTCCCCGCCTCTCTCCTCCCGTATCTGCCCTCTCCTTCTGAGGGTCCGGCTGCCCCACCACAATGTTGGCTTCTCATTACTCCTGCATCCAAGCAGTGCTCTGGGGGGAGACTCGTTACCCTGCCCCTGCCAGGACTTCCTTTGGGGTGCTGTGCCTGTGGGAGCTCAAGATTGATGTCAGGGAGCATCTCTTCCACCTTGCTCATTGAGGCAGGCTTCTCAGTCAAACTCAGAGCTCACTGATGCGGCTAGTGTCACTAGCCAGCTTGCTTGGGGGAACCCGTCTCTATCTTCCAAGGCTAGAATTACAGGCAGACTGCCATGTCCACTTGGCATTTACTGGGTCCTGGGGATCCAAAATCTGGTCCTCACATTTACGCAGCAAGTGGCCAGACTGCGTAAGCCATCTCTCCAGCTAGCCTTGTGCTTTTGAAGCCTCGTTTGGGTCAGTTTTTTTTTTTTCCAGAATACCACGAAAGTCTCAGGTTGGGGGCTCTGGGACTGTGCAGATCTGACCAGGCCACGAGGAGGCTGTTCCTCTTAGAAATGCAGAAGTGGGCATGTGGGCCCTTCCAGGTTATCAACCTGCTCCTGGAAATAGAGTCTGTTTTACTTCCTGGTGTCTTTGCTGCTCATTCGGTCCTCCCTATCTATTATTCACATAAAGAGTTGGTATCAGTGGTCACCTCGGCCTCCCTCGATGTTGAGCCGCATCCCAGAAGACTGTGCTAGGTAGCCCCAGGCCCTTTGCCCTGGTGAAGCCAAATGATGGCCTTCCAGAGCGGGGGAGGGAACACAGAGGTCACCACTCTGCCATGCAGCTTGCTGCCTGATACTGGCCAAGGCTGCAGTTAAGCCTCTGTTTTCCAGGTCTAGTTGGCTGTGGAAGGATGGAACTCCTTTAGTTTGCCCTCCTGGCTATGGGACCTGGTGATTGCTCTGTGTTGTCTAGGCAATGTTCTCTTTCCAAGCTTCTCATTAAAACCGTTACAACCGGAGTTTCTCTCCTGAGAAGCTGTGGCTGCAGTTTCGTGTGTGTGTGTGTGTGTGTGTGTGTGTGTGTGTGTGTGTGTGTGTGAGAGAGAGAGAGAGAGAGAGAGAGAGAGAGAGAGAGAGAGAGAGAGAGAGAGAGAGAGAGAGAGAGAGAGAGAGAGAGCACTGGCACTCCCATGCCATCAGATCATACTCAGGTCATCAAATTGGTGCAGCAAGCACTTTTACACACTAACCAATCCCATCAGCTCAGGTTTATTTGGTTGGTGGGTGTCAGTGTGGGTGGGTACGTGTGCACATGGATGTGGGTGGTGGTGTGTGCACATAGGTGTGGGTGGGGGTGCGTGTGTACATGGATGTGGGTGGTGGTGTGTGCACATAGGTGTGGGTGGGTGTGCACATGGGTGTGTGTGTGCACATGGATGTGGGTGTGTATGTGCACATGTGTGTGGGTGTGTGCGTGCACATGGGTGTGTGTGCACATGGATGTGGGTGTAGGCTTTAGCGGACGCAAACCCAGAGGAGCAGTTTTCAGTTAGCTGCCGGACCGGAAGCCGATCTCCAGGAAAAAGAGAGCGAGACTTCCTGTGCGCTGTCTTTTATGCCTTCCCCCGTAACACCCCTAGCCATGCCCAAAAGTGGGCCTGGCTAGTGACGTAGTTCCGCCTACGTACGTATACATCTTTACATCCAGCCGTATACGTCTTTAGTCCTGCCTAAAGTGGGTGTGGTTAGCGGTGTGGTAAACCGCCCTTTTATTACCTCATCTGTATGCGCCTCTAATAAGTCACATGTTTAATGGCGGCATCAGACTTCCTCCTACATGTGGGTGTGTGCGTGCACATGGGTGTGTGCACATGGGTGTGTGTGTGTGTGCACATGGATGTGGGTGTGTGCGTGCACATGGGTGTGGAGGCCAGAGGGAAGCTTCAGGTGTCATCCCTTGAGTACTTCCCCCCTGGTTCTCTGGGGCCTGGGACTCACCAGTTTGGCTAAGCTGGCCAGCCAGTGAGCCCCAGGAATCCTCCGCATCCGCCTCCCCAGCACTGGGATTAGGAGTGTGTGCTGCCATGACCAGCTTTTTTCATGTGCTTTGGGAACTGAACTCATGTCCTTCCTTACTCTTTCACGGCGAGCACCTTCTGGGTGAAGCTGACTCCCCCGCCCAGTTCCTTCTTTTCCGGTATGGCCGGTGTGCGGTACACCTTAGGCTCCGTTCTCATTCATCCACCTGAAGCACAGGTGGCTTCACTACAAGCAGCATTAGACCATTCTCCCAGTCCCCAAAGACGGCACCCACTAGCCGCCTCCGTGTTCTGTGACGTAGAGCCCAGCCTTCAGTAATGTTTGATGTCACTTATTTACTTGGTGATGGGGTCTGAACCCAGAGCCATGCATGTGCCAAGCACACGCTCTACCGCTAGGGCTTACTTTTAATGTTTTGAGGCACATTGGTGAATGTCAAAGAGTTTAGCTTTTTTCTTTTTTGGCTCACAACAGAGGCTTGCCCTGAAGGGTTGAAAGGGTGCGGACCAAGCTACAGTCCATTTGCTTGTGCCCTCTCTAGCGCCAGGATCTGGGGGAGCACTGAACAGTTCCACATGTGCGCTTGTGCCTGGTCCCTGCTCTGGGGATACTGGTCCTGCAGGGTCTGACCACCCTCAGGGCCTTCAGAAGCCTGGGAGAGTTTTCAGACTCTGAAGAACTCTGGGAGGCCAGCTGGCCAGGGCCGCCTCTGCAGGACACAGGGCCTAGACCCCCAGCAGATAGAGAGAGGGGCCTCGGAAGCTGTGAGGGGAAACCAGCCCGTCTTTAATCTGGACATCTGACACAGCTCTGCCATGAGCTGGGAAACATCTCACCTGTGCTTGGGACAGTACAGGGAGGTGGCCTTGGGGCTCTAGCTGCAGCCTGGCTGGCTTCGAGCTTCCCCGTCAGACTGAAGGAACCCCAAAGACCTGGGGTTCCCCCAGCCTATTAGTCAGCGTGACCCCGAACACCAGCTTGGCTCTGCCACCTGTTACACATGACTCTGGGCTAGCGTTTCTTTCTTTTTACAAGTTTTTATTTGTCCATTCATTTGTTTATTCCACACGTGTGTGCCTGCACATGCAAATGCGTACGTGTGAGGATCAGGACAACTCGTGGGCGTCGGGCCTCTCCTCCCACCATGCTCCTCCTACTGAGATTGGTCTTGGGCCATCAGGCTTGGCGACAAGTGCCTTTGCCCACCGAGCTAGCCCCAGACCAGTTCCTATGTCTCATCTCAGAACATGGTTGCTGGGCACAGGGGGCCCAGAATTGGATCTGAGCCTCCACCCTCACTGTCTGGCACCTTTTCTGTCCCCCGTTGTCCCCTACTATAAAATGAAGGCAAGGACAGTACTGAGAGGCTCTTGAAAGTAGAAGTTGGGTGGCACACAAGGATGGCCCCTCCAAAGCCTGTCTGGGGCCCCGTGACTGGAAGCAGGGAGAGCCGGCTCTCATTTGCCCCGGAGCTGTTCTCATGGAAGGGACCTTTTGTTCAGACAGCGCAGAGTGTCCCCACAAGGAGACCAGGAGCAGCTCCTTCAGGTCCCAGCCCCATCTCTTCCAGAAGGGCAAGCTTAGGCAAGTTTTCTGGATGGTGCCTCTCAGTTCCCGTTTCTGTGTTTCTGTATAGAGAATAAAAACAGCCGTGGCCTTGTCTGGTTACCCATCGCAGCTGATCGCTGTTGGGAGACTGAAGGAATCCGTGTCAGCACAGGGCTTCTGAACTTGTCTGGCCTAGTACAAGTTCTCTGCAGAATTTAAACCACATTTGTTAGTGATCTGCCGGTTAAAGTCCATTCGGTTCAGGGCTAACCTCGGGTGTGTCGTGAGCACTGTCTGTCTGTTCTAGAGCCTTCCCCAGCCTTGCTAAGGTTGTCCTTCTCTTTTCTGGTTTTCCCAGCTGAGCCCCTGCCACTCATGGACCTGTGCCGGCGTTCGGTGCGCCTAGCTCTAGGAAAGGAGCGCCTGGGCGCGATCCCCGCCCTGCCACTGCCTGCCTCTCTCAAGGGTTACCTCCTCTACCAGTGACCCACACCCCGGGACCGCCGCGCGCGACAGCCACCTGGTGCCACTCACCGAGCCTTCGGGGTCCACCGACCCCTGCGCCTGGATTGGATACCTACCCTGAGTCACGGGCAGACGAGTCCTCATCCTACCAGCCTCTGCTAGGTGGACCAATGCCAACGGACTTCTCTCCTCCCTCCCCAACACTGGCTGAAGCAGCAGCATCCAGGCCCTTCCCTGAACCAGATGCAGAGAATAAACGTCTAAGAAAGCCTCTGTCGGGCCCCTGTCTGCTCTCGCGTGGAGTGAGCCACTCCCCACCCTGTGGAGAGAGTCTGTAGCCACCTGGGGGTCCTGGGAAGTAAGATGAGTGAGAGATGCCAGGGCTCCGGGGCAGATTCTGAAAACAGGAATGGCCAGGACAAGGCCACACAGATGAAGCTCAGGATGTCTCACATACCATGGACACTGAGACAGAACCCCAGGTTGGGCCTCCCTCGGGCCAATGAGTGCCTGGCTTCAGTGCCGGCTGTTGGTGCTCCATGCCCTGTATTTATTCTTTAAGCAGTAGCAGCGGCCATTTATTTATTCCATGTAGAAAGGAAGCCTCCCTTGGTGTGTTGTTACCCCCACACACACACGTACACACACACACGTACACCCGCCACCTCCCTGGAATGTGTGTGCCACACCTGTCCCTTTTCCTGGGACACGCCTGTGGCGTGTGAACTGTCGTACGTAGACACAAGTGTGTCGTTGTGTAGATCCCTTGACCCAGTTTCCAAAGGGCTCCGCATCAGCACCAGAGCAGGCCCCAAGGAGCATTAGAGGGCTGCGCAAGTCTGCGTCCCCAGGTAGCCGCTTACCTCGGGCATGTGTACATGGTTGCACGTGTTTGAGTCTCTTGTCTTCCACGAGTCTGGAATTTCACAGCTGATTTTCCTGGTGTTCCCTTTTGGCATCCTCAGAGCTCTGGGTCTGGAGGGCCATTCAGGATAAATGGGAGTGAGTGGGATCCCCCGCCCCTGGGAACGCTATAGGCAAAGCAGGATGAGAGAGACCAAGACCAGGGTGGAGCATCATGGAAGCCCGTGCCTCTCAGGCTCAGCAGCACCCATCGTGACCCCGCCACACACTCTCAGGCCTCAGGAGTGGAGTGTAGGACCACAAGCAGGCATTGACTCCCTGTCCCCAGCAGCACCCTCGCGGAGCATTCCAGCCCCCATCCTGCTGTCTTGCCCTTTCTCTTGCTTTGAGATCAGCTCCCTAGATTGGGAATGTAGCCCAGTTGGTAGAATGCTTGCCTAGCATGCAGGAAGCTCAGGTTCCATCCCCCCGTACCGAGGAAAATCAGGCATGGTGAAACACCCATGATCCCAGAACTCAGGAGGTAGAGGCAGGAGGACCAGGAATTCAGCTACATACTGAGTTTGTGGCCGCCCAGTGCTATGTGAAACCTTGTCCTTTATAAAAAAGAAAGAAAGAAAAGAAGCCAACTCCCATCGAGTCTGAGCTCTGCTCATTTCTGCACAGGTACAATAGATGACTTTATGTTGAAAATGTTTAATATATTTACATATATATTTGTAAGCGTTGTTTTAAGCAGCTGCTGTAGGGTACCTTTTTTTCCCCAGTCTTCCAGGGGAATATAATTTCTAAAGCACAAAACTGGTGCCAAGACTAGATAAAGAATGTAAATTATTCCCTTCATATTTTGAAGTTTGGGGTTTTTTTTTTTTTGCTTGTTTGTTTTGTTTTTTTCCTTTTGGGACCTTGTCAGATTATAAAATTCCTCTTGTTCCCGTCTTGGTGTGGATCATATTCAACTGTACCAGCTCCCAGCTCCTCGTCCTCATCCAGCTGTATCCATGGATACTGGTTAATTACCAGGCTCTCCTGAATCCCCCCATCCCATCACCACAAGGACTCGCCACCCCTCCCTGCTGTCCCGTCAGCATAAAGCCTCATGGCATGTATAGTGTTGAAACTCTCGTTCTGTTCTATTTTATGATGATTCATAACAGTAATCTAATAAAGGAAAGTTTGTTAAAATATGAAACTGTCTTTGAGTCCTTTGTGCCTTGTGGGAGGGGAGAGAGGCACAGTTAGACCCTGTACCAGCCAGCCAGCGATGCTGCCTGCTTCACCTGCTACTCCTTGACCTGACCTAGAAGTGGGGCGCTTGCCAGAGAGTGGGGTGTCCATCCTAGGATACACCTTACTTTTGCAGACACGGAGGCCCAGTAGGAAGTGATCCCACGTGCTGAGCCCCTCTCGTTGCCTTGTTGAAAAGCTTAGTGTGAGAACGGGGGAGACGGCTCAGCTTGGCAAGTGCTTGTCACACGAGCATGGGGACTTAAGTTTGGATCAGAGCACCAGTGTAAAAAAGCTAGGAACAGCCATGTGCGTCTGTAAACCCAGTACTGGGGAGGCAGAGAAAAGCAAGCCTCGGGAGGCCAGCCAGTTGTGCCAAATCTGTGAGCGCCAGGTTCAATGAGAGACCCTTTTTAAGAAAAAACAGAGTGGAGTGAGGCTGGTGCCAACCTCCAGCCTCTGCGTGCTTGTGTGGGCACACGGGCAACACGTGCACAGGAACAACTTAGAGGAATACTCAAACCGAGTGCGGGCCGGTTAGGACCAGAGCAACAGTCGCGGCGTGCCCCCTCCAAGCCCAGCCTCGGCGCCCATCAGAAGACTGAAGGCGTGTGTCCCTCCATCACATCAGCTACGTGGTGGCATTGAAAGAACCCTGCCCAGCGAACCCATTCTCGCCAACTGCTGCAGATGGAGGCCCCGTGGGGAGGACAGGGAATTCTGGCTTACTTAGAGGAAGGGTGAATGATACCGTGAACACTCAAAATACTCACCAGGTGAGCTCATATGTCATAACTAGTTTCCAGAGAGCCACCGAGAGAGCATGCAACTTACTGGAGGGTTTTCATCTGAAGGGAGTGTTCTGCTCTGGGGATACTCTGGGAAGTGCCACTCAGCATGTCCCTTTCTGAGAACCTCCTGACCAATTACCTTAGACCCTGTGCTGTTAAGTGCAAGTTCCTGTGGTTCAGATGTAACTTGGTTGGTAGCGTGCTTTCTCAGAGTGCACAAAAGCCCTGCATTGGATTCCCCAGAACCATAGGAAATCTGGTACGGGCCACCGAAATGGCTCAGCAGGTAAAGATGCTTGTTGCTAAGTGTTTCGCCCCTAGGGTCCATATGGTGGAGAAAACGGACTTCCTCGGTTGTCCTCTGATTTCCTAATGCATACTGTGGTGCCTGGGGAAAAAAAGCACACAATTAAAATTGTAAAAACAAACACAACCTGTCTTGGTGACAGATATCTGTAATCTCAGGACTCAGGAGGTGAAGACTGAAGAGCAGGAGTTCAAGGTCATCCTTGACTATATCGTGATTCAGAGGCCAGGCTGGGCTACATGGAACCCTGTCTCAGAGAGAGAGGGTGGGAGAGGGAGAGGGAGAGGGAAGGAGAGGGAGAGAGGGAGAGAGAGGGAGAGAGAGAGAGAGAGAGAGAGAGAGGATAGGAAGGAAGGAAATGCATACTACAGCAACCCCACCCTGTAGGCCTAACCGCCTAACCAGCATTTCTGGGGTCAAGCCCAGGGATCTGCACCCCCCCCCATATTCCCCAGGTAACCTTGCTTGAGAATTGTGCCAATAATCTTTGGGACTGTGTTCGTTTTCTCTTGCAAAGTTGCTAGGTAAACTGGCAACTTCAGCGTGGCGGCGTCTTGGCCAAGGGACTAGAACATGGAATCCTCAGTCACACCAAGGTCCTAACATTGATGGTGTTAACCTTGGATGCTCCTCTGTAAAATGGCAGTCTCGGATGTAACCAGGGGCTGTAGAGCTCCCAGAGCAGGACCTGGCATCACAGCAGCCGTGCCAGCAATCGCTGGCAGATACCCCAGCTTTTCTGAAAAATATGGCTTCCTACACTGGGATTTGGGTTCTGGGGACGAACCAAGTGTCCCCGATCTAACCTCCCTAACCTTTCTTCCCAGGTAGTAGTCCACAAATCAAGGTGGATACTGGGGAAGGAGCCTTCCACACCCGCCCCGGATGTAGGCGAGGAAAGAGGGTGGGTCTGGAATTATTTTTAGGCAGGAGTTCATGTCTGGGTTGCAGTTGGAACTCGGGCCTCCTCTGAAAGGGTGGCAGGGGAGGGTCAGGCACGGGGTAGGGGAGGCATCGGCAATGTGAGGGCCTTTGTGCTGCCAGGAGACTTCTGGGGGAGCCGGCCTTTGTGCTGAAGGGAACCGTTTTAATAAAACCATCTGTGCAGACTTGGCGCATCTGGTTGTAATTAATCCCCGGCCTTCGAGCAGGTAGCCGGCTCTCTGGCTTGGCCATAGATGGGAAGACGCCTCTGTCTCCATCCTGGGCAGCCTCCCTCCCGCTCTTAGGCGGGATGAGGAATGTGGACTCTGCTGAACCGTAAACTATGCTGGGGAAGCTGGGGAGGGGGCTGAAGACAGAGCAATTCGTTCATGTTCCAGTCCAGACACCCAAACATGGTCGGGTTCCAGCCACAAAGAATATTTGAAATAAATGCTCTGCGCAGGGCCAGCCGTTTGCTGTGTTTTCTGCATGGGGCCATGGCAACCAGAGAGGAGATCATGAGCTCGGATCAGGCAGGAGGATCAACAGACGATGTCCTGACCCAGCAAGCCAGAGGAAGCCGCACATGACTCTCCTAGGGCTTCTCAGGACTCAGCTGTGGGAAGCCAGGGCTGTGGGAAGTCTGTCCATCTTTCCGGTGGACGTCTTGATCCTCTTCTAGACCCAGATTATCTATTTGTTATGGCTTTAGGAAGTCATAGGAGATCTGCTACTGAAGGTCTGATAATGATTTTCTAAGCAGAAAACAAACAAACAAAACAACAACAAACCAGGCTAAGGGCAGCGGCTAGAATGTAGCTGTTAGATGGAAGTGACCCAACACTAACCTGCCTTGGGTCTTCCAGCCCAGACCCAGCTGCAGTCCTTCTGGGTCTATGTTCTAGGCAGAAAGGGTCCCTTCTTTCTCCTGATGCTGTCTGATGGTGAACTTAATCTCTCTATATATTTATGGGCTAGGATATGTCCATCAATAACAGGCCCCTAACTGGGTGTATCAGCTGAAGTCCACAGATGCCCCCTGCATCTGTGGGGGAACTACAGAAAAAAAAAAAACAGTCCTATCAAGCTTGCTACGCCAAGATGGAGCGTCCAGTGACTGTTAAGATTGTTCCAGGGTTCTTGAGATCCCAGAATTCTGTGCATAGTTTTTCCCAGGCAGACCCCTCTGCCAGCCCCGCACTGGTCCTCCAGAAACCCACAGGGGGCCATGAAGGGGCTTGGTGACACCCCGGTGCAGAAGCTACTGTGCCAAGGCTCTACAGGTTGCCTGCTTTGTTCTTAGCTCCTGCCAAAGCCTCAGAGAGCTAAAGGTTAGGGCAGCAATGCCAGCACCCCACCCAGGCTCAAAGGTCCAGTCTTCAGATGCAGTTAAGTGGGTTCGAGGGAAATGCTGGAGTAGAGGCAACCTTTCTATCGGGACTGACCCCTGAGGAGCTCTCCTTGTATATGCAATGAAGTTGAAATCACATGACATTACATTCGCCATTTTAAAGTACACACATCAGTGGCATTTTGCACACTCCCAATGTTGGGCTTCAACCCCCACCTCAATCTGAGACCCTTCATCATCCCCAAAAGGACCCCACACACTCAATTCTCCCGTTCCCCCTTGCCCTCAGTACCTGGCAGCCGCGCCCCTACTTTCCGCCTGCATGGATCTCCTGCTTGGTGGACTAGTGACACCACGGAGTCTAGTGTTATCGGGCTTCTTTTGCTGCCCAGTGGCCTGTGAAGGGGGTTTGTCCCTCGCAGTGCCCTGTACTATCTCTGCTTGTCTCCTTATTCCTCCGAGGGGGAGACTGTTTCCTCAGGACTCTTTCGGGATTCATGAGTCAGTATTTACAGTGTTCAGAACACTTGTAAGCCTCAGCTGTATGGGAGTAACTGCCTGGTTCTCAGCCACCCAGACTCGCTCCCGGGAATGCTGTGCTTCCCAAAGTCAGCCTTTCCCTGGAGGGCATCTTTCAAGACCACTGCCAGGATCCAGGAGCCTCAGTTTCTCTGAGAGGAAATGCAGTCTAGGTCGTGTTTGTTTGTTTTGAAGGTTGGGTTTTTGGGTTTTTTTTTTGGGGTTTTGTTTATTTGTTTGTTTTGTCTGGGAGCCAGGAACAACAGAGGGCCAGGCAATAAGGGCTTCCTGGCCTTGCTCAGTATCTCTGATCCCAGGTTCCATGTTGCATTCATTCCGAGGCTGTGTGACAAAGTGCCATGCTCTGGTTGGCAAAAATACCACATTTTCCTACAGCTCTGGAGGCCAGAAGCCCAGCATCAAGGTGTGGGCAAGGATGTACTCTCCTTGGAGACTCTAGGAGGAAGAGCCTCCTGACCTCCTTTAGCTCCAGATGGTCCCAGGCTTCCCTTGGCGTCCCATGAACCTTCTGCTTGGTTTGTGTACGTGTGCGCGCACACACATGTGGGTACGAATGTGGAGGCCACGGTACAATCTTGGCTGTTGCCCCTCATAAACTCGCTACTTTTTTTTTAAAGACAAAGTCACTGGCCTGTAACTCAGCAGGCTAGACCAACTGACCAGTGAGCCCCAGAGGTCTACCTGTTTCTGCCTAACTCTGGGATCACAAACATGCACCCCACACCTGGCTTTGGTTACTTTTGTTCTGAGGCTCAGATGCAGGGTCTCATGCTTCTAAGACAAGCATTTCAACAGCTGAACTAACCCCCCAACTGAGCTAGCCCCCAGCTGAGCTAGCCCCCCAATGAACTAGCCCCCCCAACTGAGATAGCCCCCCAGCTGAACTAGCCCCCCAGCTGAACTAGCCCCCCGCCAGCTGAACTAGCCCCCCGCCAGCCGACACAGCCTTACCCCTCCCTCTATTTTGATGCCTGTCTTCTTAAAACACTTGCCATGGGACCCAAGTGAGCTGATCTTAAGTCCTTAACTTAGTAGCATCTTCTGAGACCCTT